ATATTTTAAAGTGTATTAAAAGAGAAAACAGTTCTTTTGAAATTGTAATAATATTTCACAGTATTACTGTTTTACTGCATTTTTGATTGAATAAATGCAGCGTTCATGAGCAGAAGAGACTGTCAAAAACATATTTAAAAATATTATTGGCCCCCAACTTTTGAAAGGTAGTTGTTAGTTGAAAGGTAGCCCTGAAGTACCAATGCAATATCGTAAGAAAACAATATCCATATATGATTGTGTCAACAGTCTGTTAGTATCCGTCTGTCTGATAAAATAAAGTTATAAAGTAAAAAGCACATCTGTTTATCATGGACTCGACGTTTATTGATGTGCAGTTGTGTTTGTTTTATCTGCCGTTGTCTGTTTTCCCGTTTCACGCTGTGGTGAATGGGAGGGTGTCGTTTTTGGTTCTCTTCACGTCTTACTCTCTTCCCCCCTCTCTCCCCGTTTCAGGATCAGGGTGGAGTGCCGTTTCATCCCTCTGTTTCCCAAGCCTCGCCCCCCTCTGTTTTCCAAGGCAATCTGAATCTCTCCCTGCCATTAATGCACAGCCTTTCGTTCTTTAAACACCTCACTCCCGGCACTCTAAGTGACATCTTTAGCTCCACGGCGTATCATTTGGAGCCCCGTCTTCCGGATTGGTTTCCTACTAGTTCACTTATCTCACTGCTATTAGTGATGTCTGATCCATTAAGGGCTAATATCTTGACTCAGGGTGCTCACGCTCAAGTTTAATGCAGCTGGATGGTATCTGCGTAACACATTGGTCTGTTTTCTCACCGAACTCGGTGGATGTGCGTCATTCGCTGATTGTCTTTCCAAAGGCTGGGACTGCTCGCCTGCTGTACTTTTAGGGCCTGATTATGGATGTGTGGTCGACTACTGGTGTTTCTTAGCTGTCTATGGGTGCAGCTCTTCCCTTTGTGAGACATTCTGGCTTTTACACTTCTTATGTACTCAAGGAACTGGGAGTCCTCACACTTTTGGGAGTTGTGACACTGCCTGTTCCTCAGACTCGATCTTCCATCTGAACTGTTGGATATATGGTCGGTTTTAAGCCATATTGTGTTTTAGGACTATCGCTTTTCCATTCGTGCTCCTGCTTCAGCAATTTCCCTCACGTTCTTCTTGATTTGGAAACGTCAAACAGGAAAGGAAGTGGACGTTTGTATGGCTTGCTGCTTTCAAACAAGTTGCTATGGCAGCTGGAGTCCAGGTAGACTGATGCAATCACAGATTTCACACACTAAAATCTAGTACACACCATATTAGTGTTTTAATTATTAAGGAGCAATTTGGACCTGTTTGTTGAGCTTCATGAGTCTTTGTTGCCTGTTTTGCCTTCTGTGCTCTAATGGGTTTTCCACCCTGTTGATTTGTGGGTTGCAGGTGTTGGTTGCTTATATTTACTTATCTTACACGCAGCATAGTAGGTCTCAAGGGGCATTCTGTGTTTGCTGGGCTTTGTTAAAATGACTTCCATTTTAATGTAAGTGAGAAGTATTAAGTAGTATAAAGGTAGTGATCTAGTAGGGCTGTTTAAAAATCATATCACCGTTATTGAAAAAAATTATATCGCGATACATATTGATATTGAATTATTGTCCAGCCCTATGATCTAGCAAATATTTGAATGTCAGCTGCACTGTGCCAAATATTATAGTAAAGCCCTTTACAAATGAAGGTTACTAAATTTGACAACACTGCAGATTAGGAATGGATCAGGATGGTTATAGTTATAGGCATCTAACAACCACCTAATGAATTAAAGTGACTGGTTTCTAGATATAATTTTTGGGTTTATTTATTCGTTTTTCTTTTAGGTTTTTTCCATCTGTGGTTATTTAACATGCCATTTTTTATAGAAAAAAATATTACTGAAAGAAAAACAGCCAACAGTGTTCACATTGCAAAACCTGAAAATATCAGGAAATTGTGTCTGAAAAAGTAATGGAAAATATGAATATTTTCATTAATATCACACTTGTGAATGAACATTTCTGTAGTAAATAATATGCAATTGTAATATACTCTAAAAATAATATTCTCTAAACTTTTACTGTCACTTTTGATCAATCTAATGCATCCTTATCCTAAATAAACATATTCATTTATTAAAGGATTAGTTCACTTCCAAACTAATTTTTTCCTGATAATTTACTCACCCCCATGCCATCCAAGATGTTCATGTCATTCTTTCTTCAGTTGAAAATAAATTAAGGTTTTTGAGGAAAGCATTCCAGGATTTTTCTCCATTTAGTGGACTTCAATGAAACCCAGTGGGTTGAAGGTCCAAATTGCAGTTTCAGTGCAGCTTCAAAGGGCCTCTACACTATCGCAGCTGAGGAATAAGGGTCTTATCTAGCAAAATGATCAGTAATTTTCTAAAAAAAACTATAAAAATGTATACATGTATATACATATTTACGTATTCACATTGGAAAGGTCACGCATGAAGTAATCAGAAGTACCGACTCAGTGTTTACAAAGCGAATGTGCAAAGAAAGTCAAACGCCCTTTAGAAAAAAAGGTAAAACAACAATGTTGGTCGATTTTGAAGTTGAATGAAAAATTTATATTGAGTTTTTCGCCTTACCCTAGGGCTGTCGCGATAACCGCAATATCGCAATACCGCGCTATTGACGAGCAAACCACAGAGGAATGCAAGAACCGCAGCAACCGCTTGCATGTTTTCTTTTTTCGTAAGGTTATGCCCTTCTCGTTTTACACTTCATGCATGTGGACTGAATATTAAACAAGTTAGTAATGATAACATAATGTGTACCTTGCTGATTTGTACAGAGGCTCCGTAGAATACCGCAGACCGCGCTATTGAGCCACTCAAAATTACCGCAAGGGAAATTCCCTCACCGCGACAGCCCTACCTTACCCTACCTTTTTGAACCGGTGTACACCGACGAAGAACTAACCACACGTGACCTTTCCAACGTGATTACATAATGCGTGAAGTCACACATCGCAGAGCTAGTGCAAGATGAGCATTTGTGATTAAAGGTGGGGTAAGCGATTTTTCAAAAACGCTTTAGAAAAATTATTCGGGCCGAGTAGCAAAACAAACTTGTAGCCAATCAGCAGCAAGGGGCGTGTCTACTCATGATGTGGAGGAGAGAGCGCTCAGTGCACAGGATGGACATTAGCCGAGTGATGACAGAAAGATATGATGGCCGATAAAAAACAAAGGAGGAAACCATCTGCGGAACAAAAGAAAGCTTACGATAAGGCAAGAAGTAGGACCCGTGTAAATATCGGATCAGCTTTCCAGCGCTGGAGAGAACTCAAGCGGGAAGGCCTGTGATCGGACGTCGAGGTTGCTTTGTTTCTTCTCGATAGGTGAGTAACACAGTGTCTACACGTGCCGCAACAGCTAAAGTCTGTCTACACTGGACGCGACAAAGCGACCATTGAAAATCATTTGGAATTTGTGTCAATACATCATAAATAGAACGCAGCAGCAGTTTTCTTTCTGCGATTTGTCATGTCGTGCCGCGCTGCATCCAGTGAAGACTATGGCTGGGTATCAAGTTCGATACTTTTTAGGCACCGACCGAATTGCGTAATCTTGTTCAAATTGATTTCATAAAATTGGTATCGAAAAAAGTATCGTTCAGGAACCAGTATCGAAGTCAAGGTATCGGTATCGATATTGAACATTTTTGAACGATACCCAGCCCTAGTGTAGACCATAGATATGTATATATATCTATGGTGTAGACCGCATCACTGATTATGAGTTCTGTAGTATTTTGTCGCGCCGTGCCACTCGCGTCCGGTGTAGACATGGTGTAACATTGGTTTTGCTTTGTTTCACAGAACTAATCGTTGCCTGGGTTGTGTATGTATGTGTGGGGCGGAGCTATCAAAATAGGGGCGAGACCCTTTTGGGGTAGGGGCGTGGTTGTTTTGGTGATTTCAAATGTCAAAATTGGCTACCAGAAATCGCTTACCCCACCTTTAAAGTATAGAAAAAATATTTTTTGTAGAAAATTAGATAAGACCCTCAGCTGGGATCATGTAGAGCCCTTTGAAGCTGCACTGAAACTGCAATTTGGACCTTGAACCCATTGGTTCCCGTTGAAGTCCACTATATGGAGAAAAATCCTGGAATGTTTTCCTCAAAAACCTTCATTTCTTTTCGACTGAAGCAAGAAAGACATGAACATCTTGGATGACATGTGGGTGAGTAAATTGTCAGAAATTTTTTATTCCGGAAGTAAACAAATCCTTTAAAATTTTACTTAAAATTCACTTCAAAGTATTTAAATACAGACAGTGTTTTATAACTGTCACAGCTAAACAGGCACTGTTTATAGGTTGATATTCTCCAAATGGCAAAATATTGGACTTTGGTACTGTAGCTCACTGTGCTTATGGGATGCACTGCACAGCTGAGGCCCAGCCAGCCCCATCAACCGGAATGTTCAAAGCCACGTTCAGCACCCACTTGATGGGCCAAAGATGTGAGATTGTGAGTCTCTTGGCAGTGCTGGAGCTGATAGGAATGTGAGTGTGTAACGTGGCGAAGCAGTGGCCTCTGGCCAGCTCACCATGCTGAGATGTGATTGAGGTCCGCAATGGGGATCCGCTCGTCTTGTCACGAGAGCTGCCAGAAAACACTCTGTGTTGGGGTTTAAAACAATAGTGACTCTAAGGAGGCTCAGCAGTTTAGTTTGTTTTGATATTGAGGTTAGAGAAGGGTTGTGGTATCAAGTATTTTGTGCATGAGAGCGTCTTTGGATTCAAGCCAGTGCACAGGACACAGCTGCACATATGGGACAGTATGTTTGTCTTGTTTGTGTGATGGCTTAATATTATAATTCATCCTGATGTGTCAAGCTATATATAATATGCTTTCGTAAACTCTGCGCAACACAAAGTTTGAGTTACGTAAACCATCTGGCCCAAGGCTTCTTGGAGCCATTGATGTGCCCTGTGTTTGATGGGTCAGTCAGGGGACTGATTCTCTGTCTCTTCTCCAGATGATGAAGGTGACCACCAGCACAGCAGCACGGGGAGCAAAGGGGGCACGGCAGGGGACGGCACCCCTCCTCCCAAGCGCAAGGGCAAGTTCTCTACCCTGGGTAAGATCTTCAAACCCTGGAAGTGGAGGAAGAAGAAAAGCAGCGAGAAGTTTAAGGAAACTTCAGAAGGTCCTTTGTTCTTTTTTTTTCATGTTTGTGTTGGAAAAAGCTTTAATTTCCTTGACTTTTTTCCTTAAATCACAGCCTAATGTTTGTTAATGTTTTCTTTCCTTTGTTGATATGTATGCTTTCTCAGATGTTTTGAACAATGAGATGATTTCAAAATCCCTTTGCCCAGTAGTCACAATTGGTTTTACTTGAAGACTCAATATCTGAAATCAAATGCTGACCCAACACCGTACTAAAATATTTAACAAAAGTAAACACAATTGTCCTTATATCGGTTTATTATTGATGTCCAAATGTGTTTTAAATGTCTAGTTATTCAAAGGATATTATTCAAATTCAGAATTAGCCTGAATTAGGGCTTTCAAAACCATTAAGGTGTAGACAACCATGTGCCATTGTGAGTTTATCTTTTATATATAGTGTTTTTGTTCTCCCCACAGTTTTGGAAAGAAAGATGTCGATGAGGAGGCCAAGACAGGAACTGATCGAGCAGGGAGTGCTCAAGGAGCTTCCTGACAATGGTAGGAGAGAGAAGAGTGTGTGTGTGCGTCTGTACTTTCTTAACCATATTTTGTACCAAGAAGTTTGTACCCTGAAGCGAAACCTGGCAAAAGCTCTGTTTGGGGATGTCTTTATTTTCTAAAAACAAAGTAAATAGTTTTTTTTTTCTACAAAATGCAGAAAGTTTTCTATTAGTGTTGGGCTACAGCATTTTAACTACCTCTAAATAAACTCTGTGTGTGCATTTGTATGTACAAGCCAAGAAATATGGTTGTTTATTCAACTATGGGCACTTTTATGTCCCAGGGGTCGATTTTTATTAAAAAAACATTTTAATGAATTTTATTAAGTGATTACAGAGGTTTGTTTGCTCAGAGTCTTTAAAAGCTTATCGTAATGCATCACAAAATATTAATTATTGCAACTATTTAAAACTATTATGATCTAAACATAAAGTTAAATAACCACAAGCTAAATCAATATTTATTGAATTATACACTTGCCTGTCCAGTGTTTCCCCTAGGTTTACGGCTTTGGGGGGGGGGACTCCTTTTTAATGGTTAAATTACATTTATTACTAATTAATTAAAATCATGAAACTTAAACAATTTACCATCAATTTATTAAAAGTTTAACAAATATTACATGTTTAGGGCCCTATGAAATGTTTTATTTTTCCAACCTTATGTTTTATTGTCACCAAATTCTGTTTTAGCATGTCTAATTATTTGAAAGCATAAAACAAGTTTCATTTATTCTTACAATAGCCTTATGATTTTTTGCTCAGAAATTCTGTGTTGTGTATTTACATTTTGTTTTAAGGCATAAAACATTCATTTAATCTATCTTTTAAGTAATGAAAATTAAACAAATTTTATTTAATGGAAAATAAAGGTCATTTAATATTACAATTACAACATTGAAGAAATATTGAATGCTTATTCCTTAAAAATAATGTTTTAATAATTTTAGTTTCTGTTGTGATCTGGCGCTATAGAGAAAATATAATTAAATAAAATTAACTTGACCTTCAAGGGGGGCGGGCCGCCCCCCTAATATAATGGCAGGGGAAACACTACTGTCCATCAGTTGTTTCCCATAATATTTTTGTTTTTTATTTGCAGTTAAGCTGTAATTAATCAAATCATGCAAATACATATATTTTTTATCTACTTGTCGATTTTGGGTACATAAAATGCTGGCTACTATAAGAAATCAGCAAGGAGTTTGCCATTAATTTCCAAAAATGTTATTTACACCACAGAATGCATAATTTGTAAAAGATGTAAAAGAAATTTGTTGGTTAAGGAAAAATGATTAAAATGACACTCTTCTCCTGTGAGAAATGCATATGAATAACTGTTTCACACTATTGTTACATATTAAGTAAATTAGTGATAGTATAAACACTTTTTAAGAAAGTCTTTTTCTAAAAGTCCATATAGGACAAAAAGAATCCATGGTTGATGAAACACCCAAATGTGTGTGTGTGTGTGTGTGTGTGTGTCAGGCAGGGGGTTTGCTGCTTTAACTTTTGAGTGGTCTCACTGTATTTCTTACATTCCTGTCATTGTGGTCTTTGAGGATGCTGGACATACCAACAGAAAAACTCGGGGCCTCAGAAGGTAAATAAACATTGGGAATGATTTCCCCCTCGTTTACAGAAATGTGGCATACATTACTGCTGAATCACAGTTCTGTGCCTCAGGGCTATTTTGATACAAGTGCCATACATTAATTTCAGTGCATCGTCTCTCTTCCCAGCAGAGAAAGACAGACCGCTCAGAGAGGTTGTTTATCATCTCAGGCCCTGTTAATGTGGTAGCCCTAATTCAGGGGAGCAGAGACAAATTCGGCACTTTTTTTTTTTTGAGGCAGATGAAGGGTGGAAATTTTATACCTTTTTTGACTCTTCATATTTTGGGAAGGAAATGACATGCAGTTTTTCTTAAGACAAGAAAGTAAAGCAAATTGTGCCCTGCAGCAAAAAGCTTTGAAAGTCATGTGCTGTGAACCGGCTGCTTTAGAGGCCTATTTATTTGAGAGCTGCTCGTGTAACCTCTGAGAGATGTGTGAGGAGACGCAACCTGTACTTCAGAGCTAATCAGAGCTACAGGCTCGTGTCGAACTTCAGAAGCAAACCACGTTAGTCTCTAACCCGATTTGAAAGAATTTTGCAAACCTGATCTGTTAGAAATAAAAATGCAAATCCTTTTGAATTTTTGCAGGGCTGTTGCTTCCAGAGAAACATAAATATTTGTTCAGTGAATACAGTACTTAAAAGGTGAAGCGTGTCGTTTCTGTCGGTGCACGTCCTGTGTGTGTATATTCACAATACGTTTCAAATGCCTTTTATGCCTGTGGAAAACTGTTACTACATAATAAATATAGTAATGACACACATTTTCATTAAAGTAATGAAAATTCAAAACTTGTATGACATTATTTCCACCATATAACACAAAAGGAGACGTTAAGCAAGATGTTTATGCTGCTCTTTTCGGTCACACTTTATTTTAAGGTTCAATTCTCACTATTAACAAACCATTAACTACGACTCAATGAACTCCTAATTTGCTGATTATTAATAGTTAGTAAGGTAGTTGTTAAGTTTAGGTATTGGGTAGGATTAGGGATGTAGAATATGGTCATGCAGAATATGTGCTTTATAAGTACTAATAAACAGCCAATATGTTAATAATAGTCATGCTAATAAGCAACTAGTTAATAGTGAGAATTGGTCCTTATACTAAAGTGTTACTCTTTTCTTTACAATGAAAGTGAATGGTGACCTGCAGTTGTAAAATTCAGAAAAGCACCATAACAGAGGTCCATATGGACTTTTTTTTTTTTTTGCAATCTATTTCAATTGTTGTGTAGTCATAAATTACAGCAACTTTTGTTGTTTTACATTGGAGAACTTCCATTTAGCTCTTAAATCTCATTTGAGCAGTTTGAATATTCACATTTTCACATTTGGCAATTGGCACATTGAAATTGGTCATGAGCCATACAATGCAATGATATTTGGCATTATTGATGTCACACCTGGTGTGACACATCTTGGCACACCATAAGTGTGATGTAAATGAGATTCAGACACACAGCAGAGGAGAAAATAATGGTATTTTCAAGTCTTTCCTGACACAAAGATATTGTGTGATTTCAGAAAATGTTATATACTTTAGCACAAAAGTCATATGATCTACTTTAATGTAGGGGTGGGCGATATGAGCTAAAATTCATATCACAATAAAGGGAATAATTTTTTTTCTAGTCTGCACTGTGAATGTTTACAAGGTTTGCTGTGTTCATTAAAGCGTATCATTACTTAAATACACTACCGTTTAAAGGTTTGGGGTTGGTAAGATTTTTTAAAATGTTTGTGAAAGAAGTGTCTTATGCTCACCAAGGCTACATTTATTTATTAAAAATACAGTAAACACTGTAATATTGTGAAATATTGTCAATTTAAATTATCTGTTTGAATGTTTTAACATCTAGGCTACTGTTTTCCTGTGATCAAAGCTGAATTTTCAGCATCATTACAACAGTCTTCAGTGTCACATGATCCTACATAAATCCTGCGAATCAGAGGAATCTTCAGCATAGTCTTCAGTGTCACATGATCCTTCAGAAATCATTCTAATATGCTTTGCTGCTCATTAACCATTTCTGATTATTATCAAAGTTGTAAACGTTTGTGCTGCTTAATATTTTTGAGGAAACTATTTTTTCACTATTCTCTTATGAATATTTGAAATTGTTCTTTGTGTCAGAGCGATGGAGTTCGTCAAAAATAGAACACGGCATCAGTTTACGATCATGGATTTGTGTCGCGCCGCACCCACAGCAGAGAACAAGGGTTCTATTTGCTTTTGTCACATCGCATCTAGTGTATTTTATGAATCTTAAGTATATTCATAATCTGCTTTACGTTTACCTGGCACTGGAAATCCTTTCACAAACTTGTAACTTTCATGCTTAGAGCAGAACCATGCATCGTTCATTTATATTTCTACATGGCCCCCTGCAATACAACTCTGATTCTTCAATCGCGCCTTCTAGTGGTCTGTTATTGATACAACCACAACTGATAACCGAGCGTTCAAGCGGGTACTGCGAGTCATGTTGAGGTCATTAAAATGTCAAATTAATATTTTGCGCTCCATTATTTACTTATCAGACAAGTTGCCGCATGATAAGCGGGAAAATTACACAGTGTAGTCTTTATCACCCTGCAGAGGTTTCTTTTGCAAAATAATCTGCTGACTGTACACTATCCCTCAGTTTGGGAACCACTGGAGTAGGCGATTTGTGCTCTATTAATTTGGTCTGTTATGATGCTCTGTGTTTGATTACTAATGCCAGTGTAGTACGGCGTTGCACACAGAGGACAAAAACGTTCAGCCTCGACTCTTTATCGTCATTTGTGTTCAAATTTGCAAAGCGTACCAAATTGAACACAACTATATAAATGCAAAATTTTAATTCATGAATATATAACGTATCCACGGTATAGCAACCACACCCCCCAGTTTGGGAACCACTGGAGTAGGCGATTTGCGCTCTATTAATTTGGTCTGTTACGATGCTCTATGCGTTTGATTACTAATGCCTGTGTAGTACGGCGTTGCACACAGAGGATGAAAACGTTCAGCCTTGACTCTTTATCGTCATTTGTGTTCAAATTTGCAAAGCGTACCAAATTGAACACAACTATATAAATGCAAAATTTTAATTCATGAATATATAACGTATCCACGGTATAGCAAAATCCATATTATGGAACAACATAATACCGGTAGTCACTTTCATACCGGTATAGCACCCACTACTACTTTAATGGTGCTTTTTGTATTTTTTTTTTCTTGATAGACTATAAGTCTCTCTTTCGCTCTCTCTCTCTCTATACTGTGTGTGTGTGTGTGTGTATATATA